CCATGCGACCATCCTAGATACGCAACTGAAATTGATAAATAAACGGCCCACATTTAAAAATGCTTACTAAAGAAGTCGCAAACAATTTTTAATGAAAGAAAACACAAGTAGTTAATCCCTTGGGCAAGTATTTGATAATCATCATAACAAACATCTGCCTATACAACTTGACAGGTTTGTGGCGTCATACTTAAAGCATTTGCATTAACCCCAATTTAACACAACATAATTCTGTATTTTCATCAATATCTGTGGGCGTACGCAACAATTAATTACGCAAATAAAGTAATAATATGTTTTTTTTTGTTTTGTCTAGAGTGTGCTAGAGAATACCATCAAGGTAACAGAAACATGCTTTGCAATTTTTACATGCAAATACAATTTTGGCGCGTCAAGATTGTCATTGATATTGTATTTACAAAAATGAAATTGTGTAACCTATAGTATTATACAACGACAATGATAGTTTATTTACACCTAAGATTTACACACATTTCTTTTTTCCGTATTATGCACGAGGATGAAACAATCAGTAATTTGGTGATACTTTTACTTACCAACATGATCACAAAGTTCTCTCACTTTTCTATATAGCATTATATAGCATTGCTTTATTTATTCTTAGTCAGACTTCTTTTTTTACATTTCAGTAAATATTAAATTGGTACATATATCCTATGCCTAAACTATTTTATATATTCAAGTGTCTTTCGAGGCCGAACTTGATGTAAATTAACAGTTGAATTTAACTGTTCCTTGCATATATGAACTGTATTTAGATCTGACCGTACTGTCCATGCACGTTGAAAAATTAAAGAGATTTAATAATTACTGGTATTTGGATTCACCACAAAGCCATCCTGGTCTAGTGGCTGGGGTGGCGCCAGTGGGGGGTGGGTAAGCCCTACACCCCCGGTCGGAGATAAAACCACAATTTGTCGAGGGGAAAAAAAATATAGGCCTATGTATTTTATACATATTAGTAGACTATAAAATCGATTAGATAAGCTTTTGAAACCCATAAACTGTCATATTTTTCGGGAGAATCACGCCCTAGTCGACTTTAGAAAGATTTTGAGCGACGCCTGGCCACGCCCATTTTCGTCTAGTCGGGGACATTGGACGCCCCGTCGGGAAAATCCTGGCGTCACCCCTGCCAGTGGTTGGCACGATCGTCATGTACTGTATGTGATGTCTCAGATTTGAGTCCCGATGGAGGTTGCGTTTTTATTTCTTTGTATAAGATTTCCCTTTTTGTTACATCTGATAATATAATAATAGTACGGTAATAATAATAGTGTACAATTGTAAATTTGCACATACTTTATAGTGCGTACGAGCAATAATATAACTATGATGATAATGATTACGATTAATCTAACTCGCTGAACACAGTAGAAGTAATGATTTGATTGTAATAATGATGAGGGTGAAATTGATGTGATAATGATGATTGTGATGATATTTATTAATAATGATTATGACGATGATGATACTGACGATGGCAAAGGAAGTTCTTTCCTGGAAAGTTCGAACTCTCGGTGATAAAGTGGCAAATTTCATTGCTGCCAGTTAAGCTTTGTTTCCATACAATCGCTACACGCTATCGACCACAGCTTTCGGTGATGCTAATTGGTCAGTTGAATCAGGGAGTCTTCTCCATTGCGTCGCGGACAGCTGCGCAGTGGAAGGATTGCATTGAAAGTGCTAGCGACTGTATCGATTCTACGGAAATAAGGCTTTAAAGACGAAGTACAAACAACTTGAATAGCACAGTAATGATATACGGTAGTATTATAGAGTATACACAAAATGTAACATCAATAGACACAATTTATGAATAAATAACGTTAAATTGGCTTTTATAAGATTTATGCTGTTATGAAATCAAAAAGAATCCGTTCATAGCTTTGACGGAAAAGTAATTCTGTTATCGTAAGTGTTAGGTAATTTGCATCGTAACAACGCAGCTGGGATCTCGGTTGATCAGTAGTTTTCAATTGTATTTCTCCATCTAAGCCTATTGTATAATTTACAATAATTTCCGTTTATAAATACCATTGTTTCCTGAGTCCCGACAGGTACAGCAAAGGCCGCAGCAGTGGAGGTTGTCGGCATTTCACTCTCGATCATTTCATCTCCATGAGTCAACCTTGCTTAAAGCATGTTTTACTATGTATATTTCAAGTTTTTTTTTAACTTTCGTTTAGGGCGCCTGAAGTTGATTTTTCCTAAATTTAAATACATACCATACGTCAATTTGAATAGGCTTTTGTTCATGAAGTTGCGGATGAATAATTTTTAAGATGACAAATAATATCGATGTTATGATACATCATAAACGCATGAAAGATTCACTCACCAACAACCTCAAAGCGTTCAAAATTCGTAAACTATACGATTATAGGACGTTATGTCAGAAAACAATGTTAACACAACTTTACAGCAAAGCCACCGTAGTAAGAAATTACGTTATAGATACATTAGTACCGTCCTTTGGGACACCTCTGCTCAGGAGACACCCCTATTAAGGGGACAATCTTCCGTGAGACAAATTCGTTTAATTCATCATTACCTATTAAGGGGACACCCCCATTAAAGGGACGGGGATTTTTTTTTTCAGTTCAAGACATATTCAGCCATATTATATTAATTTTTTTTATAACTCCCATCATAAATATATAATATTTTATTCAAATTTGAAAACTTTTAAGCTATCAATTTTGTAAAAGATTGGTTTTGATCTGATCCTCAGCAAAGCAACGCTCAATGCAGGTTCTGTTGTACATGTATTACACTTCTAGTTGACCGGTTACAAAAGTCTCTATTAAGGGGACAATCTCACGTCTGTCTCTTATACACATCTATACAGAAATAAATTGATCAGTGACTTATCTAGAAGTCTTGAATTA